AACAAGTCAGGCACAGAAAGAGAAATACCATATGTTCTCACTTATTGGTGGGAGCTAAAAACAAATAAATAAATTCACACACACACAAAGAAAAAAACCGGGCGGGGGAGGGGGGAAGACTTAACAACTACAACTCCTCAAAGTTGATACGACAAGCAAACAGAAAGGACCTTGTTGGGTGGGAGGGTGGAGAGGGAGGAGGGAGGGAGGTTTCAGTGATGGGCCACAATAATCAACCTCACTTGTTGGTTGGGAGGGTGGAGAGGGAGGAGGGAGGGAGGTTTCAGTGATGGGCCACAATAATCAACCTCATTGTATATGGACAAAATAAAATTAGGAAAAAAAAAAAAAAAGAACTACTTACATTTTTTATGTGTAATATTCCATATCCATAATACCTCTATTTATTTATTTTTTGAAATTCTGGTAAGAACATTTAACATGAAAGCCAATCTCCTAAATTTTTAAGTGCACAATACAGTACAGCTAAGTTTAGGCACAATGTTGTAGAAATCACTAGAACTTAATCATCTTGCATAACTGAAATTTTAGACCCATTAAACAGCACCCCTCACTTCCCTCTCCCTTCAGCCCTTGGCAAACACCATTCCACTCTCTGCCTCTATGGGTTTGACTATTTTAGATTCCTCATCTAACTACACAGTATATGTCCTTCTTTGACTGGCTTATTTCACTTAAAATAAATCCTCCAAGTTCATTTATGTTGTCACATATGGCAGGATTTCCTTCCTATTTAAGGCTGAATAAATGTTCCATTGTATATTCTACATACCATATTTTCTTAATCCATTCATCCCTTGATAGACATTTAGGTTGTTTCCATATCCTAGTTATTGTGAATATTGCTGCAGTGAACACAGGAGTGCAGATATATCTTTGAGATCCAAATTTCAATTTTTCTTTGGATATATGCCCTGAAGTGGGATTGTAGAATCATATGGTAAATACACTTTAATTTTTTGAGGAACCTCCATATTGTTTTCCATAGTGAATGGACCATTTTACATCCCCATTAACAGTGTACAAGGGTTACAATTTCTCTACATCCCTGCCAACACATTCTTTTTGGATAAGACCTGCATTCCTTTTTTCAACTCTATTCTATTGCCAACTTTTCTATTAGATTCCTGGCCTTTTCACAGTGATTTGCAGAACTCTTTATATATTTAGAAAACTAGCCCTTCTTACTATGAGGTGCTAATATTTTTTCTAATTTTGTCATTTCTATCTTGATTTTAATATGACTTATTTTTCCAAGCATAAATTTGCTTTTATGTAAATTTATTTCCAAGCAGTACTAGATTAGTATTCCTCCATTATTTACTGCCCCTGTCTCAATGGCCAAAACTGCTTCACTCAAACTCTACTGAATTATTTGCAGGGTCCAATTATGCCATGTCGTTCCCATCTGTGGGCTCTTATACATGCTGCTGCTGCTTTGTGGAACGTTCTCTCAGTTCTTTCCTCCTGGCTGATTGCCTTGCCCTATTCTTTCATAGTATCTTATGTGCACACTGATCAGAACACTATCCTTCTGTAGTGTAATTAACTATTTCCTTGCTTTCTCCCCTAGATCTCTAAGGGAAAGGACAACATTTTATTCATTCATCATTATACCTTCAGCTTCTGGCACAGTGCCTGGCACATAAGTAGATGCTCAATAAATCTTTATGGAAAAAAGTAAGAAAACAAGACAAACAGGGAACGAGAGAAAGATAGTGGGAGTGAAACACAGAGGATATTATGAGCTGAACTGTGTCCCTCCAAATTTCATATGTTGAAGCCTTAACCACCAGTACCTCAGAATGTGACTCTATTTGGAGAAGGGGTCTTTAAAGAGGTGATTAAGGTTAAATGAGACCTTTACAGTTGGCCCTAATCCAATCTACTGGTTTCCTTATAAGAAAGGGAAATTTGGGCACAAAAGGAGACACCAGGGATTCTCTCAGAGAAGGAAAGACCACGTAAAGACACAGAGAAGGTGGGCGTCTGCAAGCCATGGAGAGAGATCTTAGAAGAAAACAAACCTTGTAAACCCCTTGATCTTGGACTTCTAGCTCCAGAATTGTGAGAAAATAAATTTCTGTGGTATTTTTTTATGTCAGCTCTAACTAACTAATATGGAGGGTTAGAAGATGTAGAAGGAAAGATGGCTAGATTAGGGACTACCTGAAGGTGGACCATTAAAGGAATACGCAGGCACTCGTGTATCCTGGCTAGTATGTCACAACTGAGAAAAAAAATGTTTCTTTATTTTCCATTCAGGGCAAAGGGATGAAAAAAAGGAGATGAAAAGCTGATTTTAAACTAAAACTTCTGTTCTCTGTATTATAATGTGAACATGTAATTAAATTTGATTTTGACTGGGAAAGGCTCTCTCAGTTATAATTCTCATGGATTTAAGTCATAAACTGTAATGGATTTACATGGTGTGAGAATTTAGTCTGATTAGAACAAGCCACTTAAGCTTAAGGAGGCACATGCATTCACAGCAATATTTCATTGTTGGGACTGTTAAGAAGTCCGTATGATTTTTAGTCTGTCTGTAAAGTTGGTTTTTTCCTGATTTAGTATTTCCTTCTTTACTAGAACAAGCCACTTAAGCTTAAGGAGGCACATGCATTCACAGCAATATTTCATTGTTGGGACTGTTAAGAAGTCCCTATGATTTTTAGTCTGTCTGTAAAGTTGGTTTTTTCCTGATTTAGTATTTCCTTCTTTACTACTGGGTTAGTTTATTTCAAAGAGATGCTTTTCTTAGAAAATGAAATTTAACACAATGACATACTCAATGGTATTACGAAAAAAAACATTAATCATGGGACATGAAGTCCTTGAGAGTGCTTTTGTTGCCATACGTTTCATCTCTGGTGATGGCTGAATTTTTGTATTAAAAACTATATACAAACTTTGACAAACTGTTCATTTCCCTTCAGGTTTGGGGGAAGTCAATATATCTACAACACTATACAAATCATTAAGTAAAATCAAGTAATTTCTGGTTTTCATTTCAAAATATGATTGAAATGTGTGAAATTATATTCTGTCTATATTACAATAGCTATCATCTGGAGGTGTCATGGTTAATTTCCCTGACAGACTATAAAATCACCCAGCTAGGAATGGTGAAAGCCATTAATCAGGAAGATAACCTTTGAGAGCCTTACTCCTTTCATAATGGTCGCTAGTTAAATGTGAACATCTGGGAAACCATTATGAATTCATTGTGCATAAATCTATTGCCCTATGTACAGAACCACTTTTTATTACAAAAAGACTTTATATAATAAGGAAAGGATAAATGTATCACCTTTTTTTTTACCATGCATTTATTTGATGCACCATTTATTAACAAAATTGACATTGCCCTTGTATGTCCATAACACTAGGTATAAAATGGGATAATATTCAGTTGTGAACATATCTAAAAGGTTTAATGTTTTAGCAACACTTTGAAAATTTAAACGGTTTGAGTGTGCTAATTTTTATGATGTTGTCTCAGAAGTTCACTTTGATATTTATTTCATGTAGAATATAATGTAAACTGAGAGAAATGGCCTTTTGTTTTTCACATATGCACACACATACATAAAGGTTTACAAATTTAAAAAGTGATTCCACAAGCCATGCTTTACTCATCTAATATTTTTTACTGGTAATCTAAAAATAGTCTCGCAACATGGGCATCTACACCATTCAGTTACGAGATTTCTTCCAGACTTCTTACAGACATAAATGCCTGAAGGCCTAAGTTACTTATGAAAAGTAAAAAGCCAAAGAGTCATATAATTTTTAATTGAATAAATATTTTTCCACCTAATTAAACATGATTGCCAACACTAGAAGATTTTGAGAGGAAATTCTCATGCCATTTGAAAAGGAATACTGCATTTTACACAATGGGAAAAAATAAACAGATTAGAACTCTGCTTAACAGTGTTAAAACACTAAGATTCTTCTGTTATAAATCTTAATTTTCTGAAGTATGTAACTAGGACAGACCCTAATCCCAAATGAAACTTAATTGAAAGTTGTTTTTAAAAACATGGTAAGAGAGATTTCTCTTTTTAGTGTTGCCAGATAGAACTGACTCTGGATGCCTCGTTATTGTCACTTCAGCCAAGTTAGTCCACAATGAAAACCAGTCTTTCCATCTTTAATCCAACAGCTTAAATAAAATGTAAGATCTAGATTCTTTAATAAAATACATGAAAAAGGGCTTTTAAAAACCTTGGCATTAAGGGTACACATATTTACCCATAACAGTAAGTAACATGAATATGTATAACATATCCCACAGGCAAAATATAGTACACATCTGTTCATTTATACTTGTGGATAAGGGATTTTTATTCCCTACAATAAGCTTTCCTGCATCAACATTGAAGAAAAAATTATTCCAATATGAAAAAAAGTGTTGCTAAGACAAGGCTAAAATACTATGTAAATTTGGTTTAAAAAATCTTGCTAGAGACCTTCATAACATGTGATTTATGTTTGTGACACATAACAAAATTGTAATTGAATAAACAGTGGTATAACTGATTTGTTGTTCATCTCCTCCTTAGATAGACTATGAACTACAAAAGCTTTGTCTTGAGTACCTAGCAAAGTGTCTGGCACATAGTAGGTACTCAACAAATACATGTAGGTAGAAAGCTAAAATTCAGGGTAAACCTAGGAGGCTGAAGCACTTGTTTTGAAGAATCACTGTTTACCTAGAGAGAGGGGAAAAAGAACAGTAAGAAGAAGTAACATCTATTGCCCATCTACTACAGGTCAGCGCCTATGGTACAGATGCACCATTTCTTTTAATACTTACAACATCTCTGGGCAGAAGGTATCAGTCTCCATTAGGCAGCTGGGAAACCAAGACAAAAGAGATTAAGTGATCTTCCCCATTAACAGAACTAAGTCCAGGACTAGATCCTAGCCCATTACTCCTTCCATTTGATCATGGTATATCGCCAAGGAAAGAAGACAGTCCTTTGGCTTTTGTTTTTAAAAGCAGAAAACCAGTACTTTCTCCATCCTCCACACTGGCAATTCAAAAGTTTGGCTGCTTATCAGAATCACTGGAGAAGTGTTTAAGATATATCCGGGTCCCACAGCCAGAGACCCTGATTCAGAAGGTCTAGGATCCTCCCAGTCATTTATATTTAAAAAGCTTCACAGGTGAATCTCATGTGTATTCAGGCTTGAAGCTGTGCTGTTTTCCAAGCCCTGCAAATGTTCCATCCCTATCCTTCCCTGAATTATAAACATCTTCCTCGTTGAACGGGGAAGATCAGAAGTGCAAGCACACTAATATTTACTTAACATCTATTTAAGTTCCTGCCACTGCATAAACAGGTTTAATATATATTACCTCCCACATGTAATCTCATTTAGTAGACAGTGGACAACAGATCAATGCTTAAACAGGCCTTCTTATAGTTCCCTTAATCTTCTGAAGACAATAAATACATATGTATCTTATTCCTAACACATACCCTGCATCTCTTAAAAATGTCAAACATCACTGTTCATTTCAAGACATAACAATAAAATTTAAAAAATTTTAAAAATGAAAAAAGACTTCCTCTAAAGCTAAGAATCTAAAAAATTCAGATTGTGTTGCCTCTTGACCCTACCTATTAAAACAGTGTATTTAATGTCATGCAAAGCCCTTCACAAATATTTATGGATCTCCGAGGGTTATCTCATGTGTGCTCTTGAATGAGTCCTGTCAGCTGCTATGAGAGTACTTCCAAAAGTTCATGAAAAAATAGAATTAAAAGATTGTACAAATCTTTTCATGAATCTTTTAAAGTACCCTTGTATATGGTGCCTGACATTTTCCTCTTCTGCTGCTCTGGATGTCCCCAACCTTCCTGATGTCTGTAACTGAGCCTCTGAGTTCTTGAGTGGTGTCTAAATTGTTTATCAGCTGCCTCTGGCTGACAGATAACTGACTTACTACCATAACTTGCTGGACACTGCGGCCTTTGCAAACACGGTGCCTATTTATTCTGGATACCACTATCTCCTGTTGCTTTCTGGACAATGAACCAGAGTCCTCCGAGAGCTAAAGCTACTTTTGGTTTTCTGAACTTCATAATATGTAGAAGTTAATCTGTGCTGCATGAAAAGTGGATTGGTCCAGGCTGAGAATGCCTCATTCCCTGATTCAGTGTTGTATTTTTTTTTTCACACAAGTACTGAAGCAGTATTGCTCCAAGGCTTCTAGGACTTTAGTGAGGAGCTCTTCATTTTTCTCCATAGTTCGCCTATCTCTCCATAAAATTCACATGATATTTTAAGGGGAATGGCTGATAGACAAATCAAGTGATGGTCACCATGATATTCTTGGAAGTATCACTCCAAAGTTGAACTTTGTCTAACTTCATCTTCTCTGTCAAGGAGTCACTTTCCCCAGAAAATGCTACCTAGTCTCTCCTGTGACTTGTCTTCTGGCAGGTCAGTTCCACCAGTCCAGCAGACGTGCCTGTTGGACATATGGGAATGTTGGTGATGGGCCTGGCTTAGGCTCAAGCTAGGAACCACCTTGATTTGTACACATGAAACTGATTCCTAGAGTATAAGTTAAGAAAAGAAAGAAGTAATTGTAGAAGTAAAGGAGTAGGTAATCCTATACTTCTTCTCTTCTTTGCCTTCCTCTATATCTCACAAATATACCATAGACTAGCCACATCTCTGAATAAATATTTTATTCAGTATATGAAGGAAAACCTTTACCTGAAGGAAAAGTTCTAAATCCAGAATAGAATCATATCCCCAGAATACTGGCCTATTGAAAACAAACCTGAGGGCTGGCTATTTAGCTCAGCTCAGTTGTTTAGAGCATGGTGTTGATAAAACCAACATCAAGGGTTCAGATCCCCACACCAGCCAGTGCCAAAGAAAACCCCAAAATACACACAAAAATCAAATCTGGAAGAGTTGTAGAAAGGAGTAAATTATTGGATGCCAATATCCTATGTAAGCACTAGTTTATACTAATCTATCAGACATCCTGGGGTTTTCACATTTGTTTTCTTTCTATGGATCCGTTCTTCACTCCACCCCTACCTCCACCCTTCCTCCCACCCACCAACCATCACAGTCTTGGCTACGATCTTTTTTTTTCTTATGGAGTATCTTATTTCCTGTCTACTTATGTTGTCTTCTTCAGGCCTGGCTGGGAAATGTGCTTAAAATCTCTTCTGTCCAGTCATCCTATTCCTGAGTCAGTTTTTTCTAGTTCAGATCCTAAACATGGGTACCCCATTTCCTTGTCCCAACTTTCTGAGGTTATTACCTTCTAGGGAGTTTTTGAAAATATTAAGTTTTCATGAAGCTAGAAACTTCCACCAAGATAAAATAAATAGTGATTTCATCAGGTCCTTTAATGGCTACACCTGCATCCTCTGATTATTTTACCCACCACACCTAAACTATATCTGTTTCCCAGCTAAAGCCTATGCTTTGACAGACTTGATTGGATAGTACTGAAGGGAGGTGGTGACAGTAGCAAAAGCAAGGCTCTAGAATAATTGTGTCTAATATTCTGATCCCATTTTGTTCCCAGGTTAGTGTGGCCTGAAATGTTGGGACTTTATCCTGTAGATGATAGGGAACTACTAAAGGTTTTAGAGCAGTGTGATATGATGAAATTTAGCCTTTTCATAACAGGCCATATGACTTAATACAGGGGAATACCAATGCAAGCGATTATTAGGATATAACAAAAGAAAAGTGCAACAGAATTTTTTTAAAAAGAATGAGGTTTTAGGTGAAGAGTGTGTGTGTCAGCAGCTATGGAAATGCAGCCATCACAACTGGCAAATAATTTGGAAGAGAATAAAATGTACTAAATTTGGGATAAAACACATTTTGGATAATGGTGGTTGAGGTAGCTAATGACACAGAACTGGAGCTTGGAGAGAGAAAGTACAAATATAAGCACAGAGAAAAAGAGTTAAAGTTGTATCAAATAATTTGGAAGAGAATAAAATGTACTAAATTTGGGATAAAACACATTTTGGATAATGGTGGTTGAGGTAGCTAATGACACGGAACTGGAGCTTGGAGAGAGAAAGTACAAATATAAGCACAGAGAAAAAGAGTTAAAGTTGTAGCACAGGATCATACCACCAAAGAAAAGAACAGAGAGAACAGAACGCCAAGGACTAAGTTAAACCCTGGGGAACACCCATAGTCATCAGAATGTGAGGGAAGAAAACTGAGGCTTGGATTTTAGCCAATAAGTGAATATTAAAGGCTGATTTCTATCATGGTGTTACCCAAGACACAGTAACGCTTGCTTCAATTTCATCCTGGAGCAAATGCTCAAACAAGCTTTGGCAGGCTCACTTTGCTGGCTGGTACTACACCAGAACATCACCCTAATACTGTCTTTCAAGACTCATCTTCTAATGAAGACTTTTTCATATTTCACTAACTACACTTCCCTGGTGGGGCCAATGTACACTTGCCTTGTGCTGAAACAAATTGTACTGATACATTAATAATTTGCATTGTAGGACAGGTAGTGCCTGAAATATAGGGGTTTAATAAATGCATGTTGAAAGAATAAGTGAATGATTGAACATACAAAAATTTAATCCTGCACAAACTTGGGATGGAAACTGGAATACTGAATAAAAATTCTTAACGGCAATCGTATTGTAGGAGTTGGCAAATAGGTGAAACAATAAAGATTCAGTAGTGTAGATTTTTCTAAGTAAAAATAGTACTGAACCAATAAAAATTTAGCAAGCCTGGGGTTGAGTGTCCATGACGCAAAAATTTGCACTCCTATGAAAACAGCAGGTTTGATGCAAGCCAATGATGTTGTGCTAGAATTCCACAAAAATTTTTCAGCACACTGCTGATAAGCAGTACAGGGTGATCAACCCTTTAGGCTCAGCACTGGTCAAAGCTTTATAAGGGTACCTATTATCTTCAGTTTTAGGCTCACAAACTGAAAACATCTACAGAGGACTTGGAAGGAATCCCAAGGAGACTAATCAAAGAGATTAAAGGAACAAAAAATGATCAGAAAATGGGCCCCAAACAGAAAGATAAAAGAAACACGACACCATCTACTTAACCTAAGAAAGATAAGCAAACAACAGTCTTCAAAATTTTGCCAATGTGGCCAGCAGCTGTTCCATTTTACTGTAGGCAGGACAGGAGAAAATGAGCTTCCAGAATAGAGTCAGGACAACCTGGGTGCACCACTGGTTTTTCCCCAAAGAAGAACTTGCTGGCTGCAGGCACTGTTTGATAGGACCTCAACAGGCAGTGACATTTCCCTCTCTCTGGACCTTCCTTAGCATGAGTATGCAACTATATGACTAAATAGTTGTCCAGGGAAGAGGGAGTGATTTTAACAAAGAAATCCTTTCTATCTTTGTAGTTGTCAAAATCATCACATACAGTCAAGCAACAAGAGACATGAAAAGAAACTTTCAGAAGAGTCAGTTTTCTTGATTCCTAAAAGGGGGAATTCTGAACCTTCATGACAATTTTTTTTTAAATAATGCTATTGATTAGCTACGGGTCTGCTTTGCACATGTCCCACTGTGCAATTCAGAAAATAACTTGATTCTGTTATTTATATTTCTAGCCAAGTATAAAACAACACTACTTTGTATTATTGCATAAAGCTGAACATTTACAGACTTTCTGCAAATAAGTTACAACTTTTCTGAAAGGAATTATTCAAATGTCAGATTAAGCCAATAAAGCAAAATGACTAGATGGTGGCTTTTTTATTGTTGTCCTGTTTCACTACCTTTCTCCTTTAGGAACAAGGGATCACTTTACATTAAGTTCCAAGCTCAGAAACATTTGGCTACAATCCATCCTTCCCTT